GTAATTTTCGATTAAATATTTATTATGTAACAAAAAAACTTCGATTAAATATGTATTTAATATTTATAAAAATTAAATAAATATTAAAAATCTTATGAATTAAAAATTTTGTTATTATGATTAAAATATTATCCCATATTAAATCATCCATATATAAAAAATTTATAAAAAATTATGCTTTTTATATTTTTAGTATTCGATCATTTATTTTGTAATTTATTTTAATACACAAAAGTTTTAGCAATTATTCTATAATTTATTATCATAAAATATATAGACAATGGTAGATCTATGGTGCTGTAAGCTCTCCACTCGTCTGAATAATTTACCGTTCCTTTAATATATAATATATATAACAAATTACTAATTTTAATTATTCTTAAAAATAATTTATTCATAATAAAATAATTTACTATATAATACATATTTTATATAAAGTCTGATCTTTTACAGATTTTCCCTTAATGACCAAGTTTATCTACTCCTTTGCTACTAAATATTACACAAGCAACACAAAAAACCCGTGTTATCTTTGTGAGAAGGCTAATATTTTTTTATATTTGCTTTTGGATTTTTGCATCTATTTATTTCTATTTAATTATTTAATTAATTTTCAAAAATTTATGTTTAATATAATCTTTTAATAGTATTTTAAAGTAGTGACATTCTGTTATTTTTCAGATTGGGCTATAAAACTAATTATATGCATAGTAATAATGGTCCTCCAGCCCAAGACAAAAGGATAGATGGAGGAATCGCATCCTTAATTTCAGGACCGGAAAAGCGGCCGGTTGTTTAACTGACGGCATTTTCGAATTAGAAGAGGATGTTGGCGCACCAGAAATCTTAAGAGACAGAATATTATTCTGGGACTCCTCAGCGGCACCAATTTTGCTAAATTTGAGAAAATTTTCTCTAGTTTTACACCAGGGTTGGAATCTGCTAATTTATTAATAATATTTTCTTAATTTTGATACCTCGCAAATAATTACTGGATGACTTATTTAATTGATTACTTATTTAATTGATTAAATATTTGATTAATTAATAATAATAGTTAATTATTACTTGATTAATTTTTGATATATATTAAATATTATAAGTTATTAAAAAACTTTATTTAATATAAAAAATTCCTAATATTAAATTCGTAAAATATTTCAATAAATTTATTTTAATCTGTTACCTCTTTACATATTGTATATTTGTAAAATTTTGTATTTGGGTAGTGTGTGTTTTTAATTATAATTTTAGCATAATTAAAGATAAGTTTCATTTGTAAATTATTTATAGTAGTTTTAAAGATTCTGAAAAATCGGAAGTCAAACTAAAATTTTATCTAGGATATCAATATAGTTTTTAATCAGAGGTCTTTCTTAAACATTAAATTGGCGTTTCATTTCCTCACTTTGGCTCTAAATGTGGATTTAAAAACATTTATTCAAGAAAATTTACAATGTTTATATAACCGTTATAATTTTTGATATTGTGTTGTTTCCAATCCCCTACTATAATTATTCAATTTAAATCTATAATATATGAAATTAATAATTAAAATTATAAATTAAAATATTTGGTTGAAGGGACAAAACTAAAAATAATTAAAAATACTACTTACAAAATATTACTTACGAATTTAAACATATTTTAAATATCTGAATTGAACAAAAATTTAATGAAAAGATAAAAATAACTCAGCAATAGCAAACATAAAATCAATAAGATATGTGTGATCCTTTGTTATAAGTTGTTTATAATAAAATGTTAAACCATATTTATCTAATAATTATGAATGGTATCACGACTTTTGCGCCGAGAACATTTGCGCCGCGACTTATGCGCCGCGACTTTTGCGCCGGGCGACTTTTGCGCCGCGACTATTGCGAAGGGACTTTTGCGCCGGGCGACTTATGCGCCGCGACATTTGCGCCGCCATTATTTTAAAAAAATAAAATAAAAACTACAATCGGACCTTACCCCTTGGGTTTCAAAAATTATCAAGGAACTGAAAAAAGTTCAGGAAGTACAATGGGGGTCAAGTAACTGATGAATTAGGTCTGGGTCATAAAAGTAGGATGTTCTATAGTGGAGGGTTGTCGAATCCGGATATCCAAAGATTTTCTATTATCATACAACCTTACTATAGTGAGGTCTAGCTGTAGTTATTCATATATTTTTAATAATAGTTGCGGCGCAAAAGTCGCCCGGCGCAAAAGTCGCGGCGCAAAAGTCGCGGCGCAAGAGTCGCGGCGCAAATGTTCTCGGCGCAAAAGTCACGGAACCTTATGAATAAAAAAAAGAGGTTTAATATTTCCTTTAGTTTATTATATTTATTTCTCACTCCTACATAGTTGTAAAAGCTTTTATGATGTTGGCCAATAATATTGGGTCATAATTAATTAAAGATTAAATCTAAAAAACTTCCTAACTGTAACTAGTTTTTAAATTTGAAAATAAATGTAGTTTTAATAATTTTACATTACAATAAAAATATAAGTTGGATGACTCTTGCCTATATTAAAAATATTTAAAACTACATTCATACTTCATAACTTAAATCAATAAAAATTAAAATTTCAAGTTTTTAAATACGTAAATAAGATTAAGATAAAATCTTTATTTTGTATTTTTATATTATGTATATAAAACAATTATTTCAAAATTCATTTCTATATGATATTTTAATTTAAAGTTCTATATAATATTTTTTAAGTTTAAGTTTTTAAGTTTTTTTAAGTTTAAGTTAAAATAATTTAAGGCTATGCCAAAAAAGTCTTATTTTATTAATATACTACTAGAGATCATTATATTAAAAATTACATTACATAAATTATTGGAAATTATAAGTAATAAAATAACAGACTAATCATTTTTTACAAAATATATCAAATATATTTTTAAACCATTCATATACATAATTTCTGAAATATTTCTAATTAATCGTATTGCCATCAAATTATTTTTATAAAAAATATTAGTTTAATTGAATTGAATAAATACATGTAATTTAATTTGGCCTGCTAGTTCAATTAGGCTGTTATTATCTACTGAAATATCTTCATCTTATTTGAACTTAGCATAGTCAATACCTACATATATATAGAGTTAGCAAATTTAAAAAACGCTCACTCAACAAAAATAGTTTAATGAAAATATAAGTTTTCAATAGAAACCCGCAAAAAATTTATATTAAATTAATGAATTTCGATGTTAATAAAAACGATCTTTAAAAAAATCTATATAAATTAATTTTGAAGGATTTTTTTATTTGTTATTATTTATTTTATTAAAGAAATAGTTAAGAATTCTTAATATTTTACACGCGTGGGCTTATATCCTCCATATATTTATATTAGTTCAATTGTCAAACATAAATTCTTAGTATTTTTGAAAATTTTAAAAAATTTAAAATTTAAAATAAATTTAAAATTTTTTTAAATAATATTATTTTATAATGTTACATGATTGTTATCCCTTAAAAAATTCTTTACAACATATTTGATAATATAGAAAATAATAAAATTATTAATAATAAAATGAATTGAAAATAATAGCAGGATAATGAACCCATAACCTTAGGGAAATAATGCTGCGTTCGTTTACTTCTACCCATATATGGACATAAAGCCTAAGTAAGGGCAAGGACATTGAATGATTTTCAATTTTATGTGGATTTAATAATTATTTATCGTCAATAATTCTTTCAAATCTGAAATAGAAAAAAATTATGATTGACCACAGTGCTATATCTGACAGTTGATTTAAATATTACAACACATTGATTTTAAAATTATATTAACGAACAATAAAATATTTCATCTTCATCTGCTTCGCCAACAAACGCTTTTTCTATGGGAGCAACATTTTATGGAAACTCAATACAAGGTATAGTTGGAGCGCGAGGCTCAAGAGAGCCCCGGTCCCTTCAGAGCGCCAGTTTAGAGGGGGAGGAAACTCGATGAGAACGAGAGAGGAGGCGCGGTGATTATTAGCCCTAAATTAATTAGCTGAGGGGGACACATGGATTAACAAATATTTTATTGAAGGCATTCCAAATATATGGTTAAAACAAATAAATTCGATTTAAGGATAAATTTAAATTAAAAATAAAAATAACTGGAAAATACAAAAATCAGAATTAAAAGAATTAAATTGTTTATTTCAATTTTCTCCATTCTCTCAAGACTGATCATTCCAGAGTGTATTTGTTGTTGAGAGGGGCGGGAAAGGAAGGAAAGATATGTGAAATAAATAAAAGATTAAAGGGGGAGATAAATGGTTGGGAAAAGGGATATTGTGAAATTGAAGAAATAAAAATAATTTAACGGGGAATGGTATCAGATGTCCCCATTATATCTCCCTAGGGTAATTATTGTTTCAACCTCCCACTGGAGGGTAATTCTTTGAGAGAGCCCCGCTACATCTCCCTGCGCCTAATAAGCTCGACCCTGAGCTTACAGATGGTTGAACTGGTAATTTTTGAGGAGGAGAGGAAGAAATTGATTCAGATGGTGGGTTTTTAGTCCGCCATCGAAACTTTCCTGATTTCCAGTGAAGTGTGGATAAAATGTTGGTTTTTTAATCCAACATTTTGGGAGTGGGGTTCTAACTTTTTCTGGTCCATTTTTTTTGTAGAGGCAAATGGAGTGTGGTCAATAGTGGATTTTTTTGTAAGTGTGGTTAGGAAATGATGGTTTTTTCTTTATTTTCCGTCATTTCCTGGACCTTTTGGTGGAATATTCTAAAAAAATTTTTTTTTGATAGTGAGAAGGTGGGGGAGGTTTTATGGATTTATTTTATAAATAAATGATGGTTTATTATTCCTTCATCTATTTTCGGGATAATTGGTGGGGTGAGGAGGTCAAAGGAGAAAAAAAATTTTTTTTTTAATATTGTTTTGGATTAAATGGTGGGGGTGGGGGCGGGGGCGGTACCTGATACCATACACCTTCAGAAAAATTAAATTGCCAAAACTTATTATTGAAATATTGAATGGGAGAGGGGGGATTTGTGGATGTTGACGGCATTTGATAAGGATTGGGAATGTTGTGAAATTGTTGGGGTGGTTGTTGGTGTAATTGTGGTGGTTGTTGGCGTAATTGTGGTTGTTGATGTAGTGGTGGTTGTTGATGACGAGGAAATGTGTTGTTAGTTGGGGGGTGGAAATTTTTGTTGTTGATGTTTTTGAGAGGAGTTGGCCTAGGTTGATATTTTTGGAATGGTTGTTTTGGTGGTTGTGGTGGATAATTGTAAGTGGGTTTGGACCAATTGTTGTTGATGAAAGGAGTTGATGAAGAAGAGGAGGATGATTGTAAATGTCGTTTTTTTGGTGGGGGCATTTCAGATTGTTGTTGCTTAGATTGATTCTGTGGTTGATGAGACCGCGAACTATAAGTTAAAAAATTATTATGAAAATTATGAGTATAATTAATAAAGGGGGTGAATGCTGTTGCAATGTCCAGAAACCTTTTCCAACAAGGACATTCGTTTAACGTGTCTATATCACCTATTAAAACGAATGCCTGTTTAGCCCTGGAAATTGCTACGGCAATTCGTTGAGGGTTATTAATAAAGGAAAGGGAGGAAACCAGATCTGTGACATTTTCGGGGATTTTTCGGGTAGTGATGAGGATAATAATTTCCTCTTCTCTACTCTGAAATGCATCTACAGTGATGCATGTGGTCCTAGGCAAGTTGAAGTCTCTAATTTCTTCGACTTGCTTTTTGTAAAGGCATATTATTACTATCGGTAATTGGGTGGTCTCAAGGAATTGTTCGGCAATATTTCGGGCAATTTCAGCTTGGAAAGTGTTGAATCTCGAAAAAGAATGTTTATCACGCATATCTTTTCCGGTAGTATTTATTAGGAGTATTGGCACATCTTGGACGGGGAAGGGGAAGGTAAGGGCATCGGATCTTTGATCCACCGGGATTCCGGAGTTCAATTCCGACTCATAAAAGGTGTCGGCAACTATTTGGGTGATGATGGGATGGCTTCTGTAGGATGTGGTGAGTTTGATTCGTGGGATATTGGGGATTGAAAGGGCATGATCAAGGATTGAATTAAAGGCATATGGGTGTAAAAATTTGGGGATATCTTCTTTATAAACCCCTAGTTGTTTAGAATCTCCAGTGATAAATATTTTTTCTAATTTGGAGCCATAGGTGAGAATGTGGATAAGCTGATTGGTGGGGGTTTGTCCTGCCTCATCAACAAAAAGATGAGTTGTGTTTCCTATCAAGGTCACAACATCTTCGCACATTGAGACGGTTGAAAGTTTTGTTTGGGGGGATTTGTCGGAGTTTAGAACGATAATGGCTGTCGATTTTTCATCGGCCATTTTCGGTTTAGAGAAAGCCTTGTCTTTATACCTGTGGGCAATTTTTCTGTCTCTACTTTTGAGGGATTCTATGTCTACATCTCCAAGAGAAGAAATCAATAGATGGTCTCTATACTTACCAAATAGTCCCATATATTGTTCTTTTGCTCTTGCTGAGAGTAGTATGAGGGCGGTTTTATTCATTTTTGAGAGTTCCGGGCATATGTATTCAACTATTTTGGACATGGCAAGGTTGGAGTGGGCAATTATCATTGGGGATTTATCATTTTTCATTAATTCTAGTGCCATTAAGCCAACAATTTTGGACTTTCTGTGCCGGGTGGGGCAATAGTGACAACAATGGAGGGTTTGGGGTTCAATGTAAGATCAATTGCCTTCAATTGTTCTTCATTTGGGGGATGTTCATTATCGTGGGCAAACATGGCGTAGTAGAGATCACGGGTGTTGGTGAGAGGAGGTTCGGTGCTAATTCCTAGTATTTGTTTCATGAGTGTGCCTTGAGGGGTTTCTAGTTCTGAGTAAATTAGAGGTTCACAAGATGCCCATGATTCTGCTCTTGTATTTAACTGGTTCGGGGTGAAGGGGATTTGAAGGTAGACTTGTGCGCCTTCAAGCCTTGGTACACGATCATCTTGGTTTGGTAAGCCTTCAGATGAACGGAAATATTTAATTGAAAGGAATCGTTTACTGAGTTAATTTCTATTATTGTGCCTTGTGCAATTGGAATCTCAGGTTCATATTCAATTGCAGCTATTACCGGTGAGTCTTTTTCCCAAATTCGTGTGAAACTAACCAATTCCTTGAGACTCTTAGGGGTGTGGTGTATAAGGAATACCTGATTGTTTGGGTGTTGTGGGTGGGGGTTGAGGGTAGTGAAAATGGATGCCTTAGTGTGACTCGTATTTTGGGTGTAGGAGAGGGTTCGGAGGGCTGCGGCTATGGTTTTAATTGAATTTATTTCACTCTTGTTGTTCCTATTAATTGAAAAAGGAAAAACGTACTCGGCTGGGCTGCTAGTACTCAAAATAACATCCGTAGCTGGTCCAGCTCTTTTGGCAGTTGAGTCTGAAATGGGGAAGGATTGGGGTAAGATATATTCATTATAAATGATTGATCCTATGGGCAGTGTCTTGCACACGACGCCAACTAACGATCCAGATTCCAATTTATGGTTGGGGTTGAGGGGTACAAGGTTCGGTACTGCGGAAGAGTCGGAGTGTATTAGAGCCATTTTACAGACGGTTTTTCCTACATTAGTTAACAACTTAGAGACGTTAAGTACAAAACCCTGTCCGGTATGCGTTGGAAGTTGGGGTCCTAACAGTTCGGGGCCTAATCCCATGTGTACTACTCGAGGTGGGAGAGCGGGTTGGTTGTCTATTTCGGTTTCAGAGAGAGAACGGAAACTATTACATTTAATCATGTCTCCGATTCCTAAATTCAGATTATTTGGTTCTAAAGCTATAAACTCGGGCCAGGCAAAAGATTTTGGTCCTCTTGAGGCTTTAGCGGCAATGATTTGAGGAAAAGTTCTTGAGATGAAGTACTTGTTCTTCTCAAGCCCTGTAATGGGTTGTTGGAAGTAGGTGGTATGGGCCTGTGGGTTGGGTTCAGATCTATGTTCAGGAGGTGGGGTGGGGTCCAATACACGTCTAATTGGGGACCAACTATTGTCCAGAAGTGTCCATTCAGCATTTTCTGACGCTTCAGGGGTGGGAGATGGGGTACGTGAGTTAGTGGTTCCAAGATTCGCACGATAATTGGCGAAGCTGTTTGTTTGAATATTGGGTAAAGTTGGTTTTTCGGATTCTCCTAAGGTGGGATTGGTTGGTGGGAGTTGTTCCGGGGTTCCCTGGGGTTGAGTGGGTGTGGGGTTGGGGATGTCCGCAATTTCCGTGTCCGCAATTTTTTGCGGTTGTGTATTTATTTTATTATTTCCATCTTGTCGTTTTTCCGGGTCAATTTCCATAAGTGATGGATTTTCAACCATTTTAATTTTAGGTTTTAGCTATGGTCATGTTCTGATAAATGATTTTGGGTTCCTGCGTAGGGGTTAATTAGAGTAAATATGGCTAAATTATTTTTTGGTTCTATCAGGGTAGGAATTAGACTGAAGTCCTGCTCAGCAAGTCTTTTGTCTAATATGTCAATTGAGAGAAGATTAGAGTTAATATGTGAATCTATTTTAATTGGGACAAGAGATTGGCTTTCAGGAGGAATTGTAATTGACTTAAAAGCTCGAATTCCTATAGGGAAACGGTTCCTATATGTAATACCCATTGGCGTGGTATTGTTACCAATAGTTAGTGTATTTTCATTGTGGTTAAAAGTTATTGGCGGGAGTTTGGCAAAGGTGTCACATCCTAAAATTATGTCATAATCTTTAGAATTGTGAAAGTGTTTGTTATCTACAAATTTAATTTCGAGGGGTATTAGATATCCAGCGACATTTATTTGTGTGTTGCTAGAGGCAATTATTGGCATATGATGACCCGAAGCGCTTATGGCTCCTAGTCTCTCATATTTTATTGGGCTTCCTATTCTCTCTGCTATACTAAGGGGAGCTGCAGTGAAAGTTGCACCAGTGTCAGCTAAGCAGCGAAACTGGGAGTTATTTATGTATGCGGTGATTGTGGAATTATGGGAGTTATTCTGGAGGGTTAGTAAGTATGGATCATTAGCCTGTGGGTTGATTAGTGAGGTGCACTCTTCACCTACATAGAAAAAGGCGTGAGTGAAGTCGATATTTATTGGAGGAAGAAGTGAAAAAAGATTACATCCTAGTATTGCTTGGAAGGTTCCTTCTCCTATAAATTTGTCATCGGGTACTAAATAAAGGTCGATTTCCCTTGAATAGTTACAAATTATGATCTCAACAATCGTTTTTCCAATGATTGGTACATTATGACCTGAGGGGGTTGTGACTATAACTTCTCCTTCAGTTATTGGAGAGCCAAGAAACTCTATGAGTCCTTTCGGTGCAAGCGAAACAGTAGATCCCGTGTCTATAAGGCAATCAACATTCATCGAGTCAAATGTTACATTTATTACCGGTAAATAATTATATATTAACGTTGGTCCGTTTAGAGTAGGGTCAATTTTACTTAAAAACTCAATGAGTACACTTGATGAATGGGATCGTTTGCAGTTGTGGTTGGGCTTAGGAGTTAGAATCTTATCTGAATTTTTTGGAGATGGGGCAGGAGGTATGACTAAGGGAAATTTTGTTGCGGAAGGGGGCCATTTATTTGGCTGCCCTTCAAGTGGCTTGCCAAGTTCTAGTAAAATTTGGGAGGGTTGATTTTTGAAACGGATCTGATGCCTTTTTGTAGCTTCAGGTTGTGATTTAGTTTCTAAAATTTTTGCAGTTTTTTGTTTAATAGCTGTTTTGGTTGTTAGAGCGCGGATTATTGTGAAATTTTTCAGATAGTTTTCAATTAATATGGCGGAAATTCTTATGGTTATGTCAATGGCCGCAATTATGCATATAATTAGACAGAACCAGTTTTGGATCCCGGACCAGTCACCTATTGCTTCGTTTACTATTTCCTTCCTAACTTCTTCCCAGTCAGTTGACATGGTTGGTTTAACAGCTGAGTTCTGTTGTTCGATTCTATACGTTATCTGACTGACTTCAGTTAGACTGGAAAAGTAAGAATGAGTTATGATATCAGTGAGGTTAACAAGAACAAGGTGGTGAAAGGCATGCGGTAAGAGTTTCGGAATGTCTATTTCGTGAAATGATTTGCTAGTGAGGGTTTGGGTGTATAAGGTTGTTGTTTCGCCAGTTATTTGGTCTATTTCCATTAGTGTTCCATTTATTTGAATTGGAATCTTCCTATATTGGGAGCAAGGGGCTTTTCGGGCTTTGGGTGAGATAAGTAGATTAGCTGGGTCTAGAAAGGCGAGTTCGTCCTTTCCGTGTGTTTTTATTGTTATGGGTAAGAGATCAAAACATGTTTCAAGGTATGTTGGTGATATCTTGTATTGGGTCGGGGTAAGTTGGACGCATGGCCATATTTTTAGCGTGGTGCCAGAGATGTGTCGAGCGATTAGATTAGTATTGTTTAGAATGGCTCGTGCTAGGGTGGTTGGGTTGGAAAGGAGAGCAGTAGTAGTCCACTTTCTGGTCTCTTCTGCAAACTCACAGAGTTGGCGGAGGGAGTGTGTGAACTGAAAGATGAGGGATTCTTTTACTTCATGGTCTAGGTATGTGAGTTGTCCCCCTAATTGGCTACCAGTAATAAGACTTTCGTGATCCCAGTCAATTTCTTGTGAGAAGGACCTTTTCTGCCTTTTAGGGTTGTTTTTGATTTTCTCATACGCGAAACCTTGTTCAGTTAATAATAGAGTACGGTTACAGTCAGTGGTGTTTGAGTTTTTGGAATTCAGGGAGAGCCCTATTTCTATGTTGTCCCCCAACCATATATCGGTCATGATTTTCCCCGAGTATTCTCCTATTAAAGTAAATCGACATTGTTTTTCGGGAGAAGGTTCCCAGATTAATGTGGTATTATCAAGGAGGGTGCAATTTCCGGACAAATATTCGCAATGGCTCATGGATCCTAGTGTGGATTGAAGGAGTTCGGTTCCATGAGGAATGGATATTTCAGTTTTAAATAAGTAGCAGTTGAGGGAGTGGTGGGATCGCCAGGACCATCCGAGAATTGGGAATCGTTTTTCATAGAAAATTCGGTTATCGGTGTGCCATAATCCTTCTTCCTCTTTTAGAGTTCCGAAGTTGCATCTTTTCCGGGAAATCATTTCCTGACAATTCTCGGGTGGAACATAGAGATTTACTGGTGGGATGTTTCGTTTTATGAGGTCATTTGTCGGGTTTGTATATTCGTCTTCCCCCTTCTTAATTATTCTACATGCCCATGCTTTGTTCAATTGTTGAAAAGCATTGAGGCGGTAAAGTTTTATATTTTGGGTTATAGGGATTCCTGTTAGATTTCTTGTTAAACGTGGGCAAGGGGCGAAGGTTGGTAAGGTCCAGTATTCCCCTTGTTGCTCGGTCTGACATATCATTGGGTTCTGGTAATTATATCCTGAGGCCATTTTATTTTGAGGAAAGGCAAGAAGAGTAGGTAACATCATAATTATAAATAAAATATAAGACATGCGAGTAATGAAAGGTGCTATAGAAAAATTAGATTTACTAGTTGAGGGTTCCCATTTTTCTAGCTTAGCCGGCGGCATTTGTTCTTGCATTTTAGTCTTGTTCTTGTCTTCGCTATTACTGTTTCCGGGATTGGTCAGATACAATGATCTGAGATTGTGAGGGTCATGATTAAAATCTATTGAATTAAATTGGCTCGTGAGTTCATGAACGTCTAAGGGGTTTAAGCGTTCAGAGTTGTTTCTATTATCAGGGATGTTTCTATTTTGTCTGGACTGGTAGGAGAAATTATTTCGTATGGGTAGGAAGTTGGGGTTAAAGGAACGGGTTCGGTTTGGATAGGGTCCATAAAGTCTTGCTCTTGTATAACAGTCTGCGATTAAATGGCCCATTTTGTGGCAGTAGCTACACGTTTTAAATGCATTGGGGTTGGGGTTTCTATTCTGATATTGATTAAAATTCCGATTGTTCTGGGGTCGAAATCCGAAATTTTGTGGTCCATTTCCACGAAAATTTCTTTGGGGGTTGTATTGATTCCAGTTGGGGTTCCTAGGAGGAGGGTTATAGCTAGGGGTTGATGTATTAAGTTGGCTTCTGCCAGGGTTGTTCTGCCAGCTGGTAAAATTTCCAGGTGGGAATCTCTGTGGGGTTTGTTGGTTCGGTTGCGAGATAACATTAAGCCATTCTTCGCGGTCATGTTTACGCTTTCGGGTTTGAATTAGATTTTCAACTTCTAAGGCCTTAATTCTTACTTCTTCAAAAGATTGTTGCGGGGTGATGCCAACTCTTACATAAAAAGCTATTTCTTCTTTAATCTTATCTAGAAATGCGGCTTTCAGAATGTCTTTTCTTGATTGGGGATTTTGTTCAGGGTAAGCTGCAAATACGAGTGGGACAAGTCTGTCGACAAAACGATCGATTGATTCATCTTCTTTCTGTCGACAGAGTGAAAGTGATTGTTTTGCAAGTTGGGCTCTTATTGGTGTGTCTAGAGTACGTTTATGAGAGTCTAACGCGCGAGATAAAGTATTTTTATCCTCGGGAGGGAGTTCTTCTAATACTTGACGGGGTATTCCATCTAAAAACATTTTGAGTCGTCCTATTTTTGAGGGTTCATCTAATTTCTGACCGGTGCCTTCCATATAGTCCAAAAATTTTTGTGCCCAGGAAGAGAATGTACCTGAGGATTCACCAGAGTATATTGGGATAGGTCCATGAGTGTTGGGAACGTAGTCAAAGGTGAGGCCTCCTATCAGTCCGACTTCTTCATCCTCGTTTTCGGAATTTTCATTATTAGCGATATTAGTGATCTGGTTTAGGGTGTGGTTATTTTGCTGCTGGGATGTACCTACGGTATTGACGGGAGTTAAGCTGATTAAGTTTGCGTTTTGCTCTGCAGTTTTTAGTCTCTGTTGAGTCGGGGTTTCGGGAACTAATGTATCTATTCGAGTTGCTAACGTGTTTAGTCCCAGATTTAAGTCTCCGGACATTTTAGTTATGGCTTCGGTTGCAGAGTTGACTCGTCTGTTAACTGCTCTGAACGATCGGTTAACAGAGTCTTCAAGGTTATATGCGTTCCCTAAAAGTAATTCTAGGTCCTGGAACTTTGGGTTTCCCGTACGACCCGTAAACAGTTTACGGTCAATCACAGTAATGTCGGTTTCGGTCATTACTGGTATGCTTTTGTTCGGGAGTTAGGAATGTATAAATATTAAAAATAGAGAAATAAAAATTAAATTTGATTCAAATAAGAAAGGATTAATTGAAAAATTTGAAATAAGGATTGAAATTAAAATTTGGAATGTGAATAAAATTTAAAAATAAAATGTAATTGAATGTATGTTCAAAAAAAAATTTCTTTTAGAGTAAGTTAAGTTTTGTTTTTAATGCTTGAAGTCTGATTGACGAATGATGAATTAATACAAGTTTTATTTATTTTTATATGGATACAGGATTAAGAAAATTTTCTCAGTATTAAAAGATTGAATTGTAAAAATGTTTCTCATTGGTTTATTATTTTTTCTTAAAGATTGTTAAGCAGATATGGTTTATTGTTAACTTCCCTTTTATTTTATTGAAGGATAGGACAGATTGTGATACATGGGAAAGATTTTTTTTCTAGGGATATTTTTACACTTTTTTTTTGTTATGGGAGCGAAACAAGAATATTTTTTAACTGATGTAATAATGAACATTTCTTGGATCTGTGGACTTTTGTTTTTTTTTAATGGACTAGTTTATCGGATACTGTGAAAATATTCTTTTTTCCCTTTTTTTTGTACCTTGGACTGTTTTAAAGATTTTCTTTTATAATTATGGACTCTGATTTTTTTTTATTTTGGTACCCTTCAGTATTTTGATAAAACGGACTTTAAAGGATTGTATATCAATGGATTATTTTTCTTTTGTTCCCCTATCTTGATTGTCTAATAAAAAGGTCCAGGGGTTCGGATACTAAAATTAATATCAAATTTTAATTTGGATTTATACTAGTGCGGATTGCGGCTGCGGATTTTAAAATTAGAATTGCGGATTGCGACTGCGGAAAAAAATTTTAAATTGTGGACAGCCATAATATATACAATCATCCTCTCATTCCTTTGGAGGGAATTGAGAAGAAGGGAATTTAAATATGAAGAGAATCAAAAAATCAAAAAAAAATTGTTTGGGATTAGGGTATTAACTTGAGGTGTTTTGTAACACCAAAATCAAAATACTTCACATTAGTGTTTGAAGAATTTGAAAAATAAAATAAGTCAAAATATTTTTAAAATTATTAAAATTTAAGTGATTGGACTTAATAATGAACATTTTGGAAACACTGCAGGGGTAGATATCCTGTAGGTATAAGTTGAATGAAATTAGGGATGGAGCGGATTGCGGATTGCGTAAAATTGAGTGTTTTTTTTTTTGAAAGAGAAAACTGATTTTAATTAAGTTGTTTAGACTTGTTTAAAAAATTGAAAAGTAGACTCGTTTTAAAAAATTGTATGACGGCAAGGGATCAGGGATGGAGCGGATTGCGTAAATTGACTGTTTAATGTTTTTTTTACTTGCGGATTGCGTTTGCGGATTTTAAAATTAATTTTTTAGTGGAATTTATGATGATTTGGAGAGGGGGGTTTCGAAATAGAATGTATGATTAAAAATAAAAATGTATGAGATAAATTTTTAAAAAAACTTAAAAAAAATTTTAAAAAATGGTGTGGGTTGAAATATTTGTAAAAATGTAAGAATGAATCAGGCTGCGGGTATATTCAGGGAGGAAGAGTGGGGTAAGAATGAAAAATGAGTGGAGAAAAAAAAATTGAGTGAAAAGAGAAGCCAAGCTGTTTGTTTTTATTGGTAAATAATTTTTGTCTCTCCTCTCCTATTGGTTGTTTTAACTGTATTGAAAAATTACTGTATTGAAATACTTTTCAGATGTGTTGGAGAAAACAAAAATTATACCAGGTTAGAGAACAAAAACGAATTTGCCTTACAAAAATCCCAAAAATGGATACAAACACAAAATCAAAAATAATACAAACACAAAATCTTTTAATGGAGATATATAGATCTTGGAGGGTTTTTTTTTAAAAATTGAAAAATATGTTTGAATGTGTATTTGAAATAAAAATTGTGGATTGCGGCTGCGGAAAATTTTTCAATTGCGTCCACCCCTGGATAGGATGCCCAAAAGCGTTTTTTGGTCATTTGTGTATGTGATAAAGAGGAACAGGATTGTATTTTTTAAAATTATTATTTTGCCGGAATTTGAGCCCAAAAGAATTACCGGCAAAAATTTCTATTTGTTTAGAGAGGGGGAATCCGATTTTTAGACACCGCAAAAAATGAAAAGCTAGTATGAGTGCCTCTGATCATATGAGGGGATGGAAGGGCTTTTATTAAAAAAAAATTGTCTGTAAAATTGCTTTATATTTTTTTTTAAAGAAAAAGGATTGAAAAAAATATATATTTAAATATACTACAATTTTTCTGTTGTTTTGTTGAGGGGTGAAGTGAATGGGACAAAAAAATGGGGAATATAAAACATATTTTTTGAAGGAAAAACGGTGAAGATTGGGGGAGGAGATTGGGCAGAAGATGGAAAAAAAGGACGCTATATTTGATGGAGATTGGGGCAAAGATTTTATTTTTGGAGAGAAAAAAATGAGAAAAATGCATTTTTGCACAATTTTCCTAGGCCGTCGTAAAGTGTGTATCTAGAGAAAATGGTATGTAGATTGTTTTGTTGGGAAAGTGGGGCAAAACTGGACGATATGAGAGGTGACTGTTTCTTTTTTTTGTAATTTATTGGCAAAAATAGGCTTGGTTTGGAAAGGAAAGTAAATATTTTTCGATGACACTGATGGGCATATGGGTGAAAAGGATATGACTAGAGAAAGTTTTCCCCCTTTTTTGTTATGTTTTGTGTAGGTGTCAATTTTGTGTGAAAAGTAAAAATGGGGAGATAAAAATTTATCAAGGCTGAGGAATTTTGAGTTTTAAAAGGCTGAAAACGGAAGGCGGAAGAAAATAAAAGCGGAAGACGGAAGCGGAAGAAAATCCAGCCCTGGAATTTACCTATGGGTAACCATTCATCCTTTAAAGGATGAAGTGTGATTTTATTTTATTTAAAAAAAATTGGGTATATTTGTGGGGGGAGGTGCGGGAGCCCAAGGACCGGAGGTGGAAGAACCATCGGTGCTACCAGTTGGAGCGCGAGGCTCAAGAGAGCCCCGGTCCCTTCAGAGCGCCAGTTTAGAGGGGGAGGAAACTCGATGAGAACGAGAGGGGAGGCGCGTTGATTATTAGCCCTAAATTAATTAGCTGAGGGGGACACATGGATTAACAAATATTTTATTGAAGGCATTCCAAATATATGGTTAAAACAAATAAATTCGATTTAAGGATAAATTTAAATTAAAAATAAAAATAACTGGAAAATACAAAAATCAGAATTAAAAGAATTAAATTGTTTATTTCAATTTTCTCCATTCTCTCAAGACTGATCATTCCAGAGTGTATTTGTTGTTGAGAGGGGCGGGAAAGGAAGGAAAGATATGTGAAATAAATAAAAGATTAAAGGGGGAGATAAATGGTTGGGAAAAGGGATATTGTGAAATTGAAGAAATAAAAATAATTTAACGGGGAATGGTATCAGATGTCCCCATTATATCTCCCTAGGGTAATTATTGTTTCAACCTCCCACTGGAGGGTAATTCTTTGAGAGAGCCCCGCTACAGTATTTTATTTACATCGTTTCGCGATAATTAGGTATTTTCCTTTAAAATTAATGCTAATATAATTTTTATAAAGATTTCAATCAATTAATTTAAAATGATTTTTTGATTGTAAAAATTATTTTAAATATGTATATTCTGTAAAAGAACCTTCTGTAAAAGAATTAATCTAACAACTAGTTAAAAATTTATGTTAAAATAGTATAAAGAAATTAATCGATTTTATAAAAAAATGGTTACTAGAAACTTTTTTTTATAAATTTTGTTTGTATAGTTTGAGATGATGCAAGTCATATGATAAAGGCTGGCAGATACCTAATTATATTCATTAATATAGTAAATATTAGAATTATTAGAGAATGTCATTTTTATAAAAATTAATTCTTCAACAAAATTTTATAAATTAATATTAATGTTAACAATTTATATTAAAAGTAAATAGTTGGAATTTTATTGAATTCATTGAAATTTTTTTATTAAATAAAATTTAATAGAAAATATTTTAGAGATTTACGACTGATTTTCTAGGCTCTTTTTATATTAGGTAATATTAATACAAAACTCTTGCCTATATTAAAAATATTTAAAACTACATTCATACTTCATAACTTAAATCAATAAAAATTAAAATTTCAAGTTTTTAAATACGTAAATAAGATTAAGATAAAATCTTTATTTTGTATTTTTATATTATGTATATAAAACAATTATTTCAAAATTCATTTCTATATGATATTTTAATTTAAAGTTCTATATAATATTTTTTAAGTTTAAGTTTTTAAGTTTTTTTAAGTTTAAGTTAAAATAATTTAAGGCTATGCCAAAAAAGTCTTATTTTATTAATATACTACTAGAGATCATTATATTAAAAATTACATTACATAAATTATTGGAAATTATAAGTAATAAAATAACAGACTAATCATTTTTTACAAAATATATCAAATATATTTTTAAACCATTCATATACATAATTTCTGAAATATTTCTAATTAATCGTATTGCCATCAAATTATTTTTATAAAAAATATTAGTTTAATTGAATTGAATAAATACATGTAATTTAATTTGGCCTGCTAGTTCAATTAGGCTGTTATTATCTACTGAAATATCTTCATCTTATTTGAACTTAGCATAGTCAATACCTACATATATATAGAGTTAGCAAATTTAAAAAACGCTCACTCAACAAAAATAGTTTAATGAAAATATAAGTTTTCAATAGAAACCCGCAAAAAATTTATATTAAATTAATGAATTTCGATGTTAATAAAAACGATCTTTAAAAAA